GCAGGTCTCCACTGAGCAGTCCTGGGGTCACTCACTCAGCTGGGTCATCTGGTAACTCATTTAGGGCTTGATGGCCTCCTCTATTCCCCTTCTCATCACCTCTCTGGTGGAATTGCCTGGTTTTCTTTTATGGCAGTGGAAGCATTCCAAGAGAGCAAGCCCCATGCACAAATGTTTATGAAGCCTTGGCTTGTGTCATATTTGTTGATGTCCCACTGGCAAACAAGTCACATCACCTAGCCCAAAGTCAATGTGGGAGAGGGCTATGCAATTCTATCACTGAGCAGTGAAGCAGCCTACAGCCACTCTGGGAAGCATTCATGTCGCCAGGTGTGGAGGCAGCCCTGGAGCTGGTGAAGGAGGTAGCTTTTTGGTAAGCCTGGAAGTAGTTGTAACACTACTTGCTCAATATGGGACCCCTTTAGGACATACCAAAGGTCTTGTGCTCGGAGCAATCACATAGAGTAGCAAGTTGGGGACTTTTCTATATACAATCCCCAAGCCTTTAGTTAAATGTTGATGCATATTATCCCTGGCATTAGCATGGTGTGTCCATGCTCAGACCAAAGTAATAAATCTCACCAGTAAGGTCCATTGATGGTAGTTCTACATAGACCCTAGGAAAATCATGATCCAGGAAACACAGCAATTTGAACAATGGGCCAAGTGGTGCTGATTAGCCTGGAGCAAGGTAATGATTTAAAAAAAAAAAAAAAAAAAGGCTGGAACAAGGAATGATTCACACTACAAGTGCACCACCACCAATCCCAAGGACTCCCAGAAGCAGCTGAAAAAGACTTGGATGGAGAGGGAAGTCAAAGTTCTTAGGCCAAGTAGATAAGGACTTAGTGCATCACGTAAGTTTGGATCATTGTCAAAGTAAAAAAGGGAAACTGTTGTAGACTAAAAGAGACTAAAGCTGTTTTTCTCAAATTTTGATGAATTTTAGAAATGCCTGAGGAAGATTTTTAAAACCCAATGGTCAGACCACACCCAAAACAGTTAAATTACGATCTCTAGGGATGGAGCCCATATTTCTTAAGGCTACCTGACCGACTGATTCTAAAATGTGGCCAAGGTGAGAATCTCTGAACTGAAGAAAACCTAACAATCAAGTGTAATGCATGAACTTTTATTGGATTTTTTAAAAATACCATAAAATACATTTGTTGAACAATTGTCAGAAGAGATAATACATTACATGTAATATTTTAGATTTGTTAATTTTTTTTTCTTTTTTTGAGACAGAGTCTCTCTCTGTTGTCCAGGTTGGAGTGCAATGGCACGATTTCAGCTCACTGCAACCTCCACCTCCCAGGTTCAAGCAATTCTCCTGCCTCAGTCTCCCGAGTAGAGGGAACTACAGGCACACAGCACCATGCCTGGCTAATTTTTGTATTTTTAGTAGAGACGGGGTTTCACTATATTGGCAAGGCTAGTCTCAAACTCCTGACCTCAAGTGATCCACCTGCCTCGGCCTCCCAAAATGCTGGGATTACAGGTGTGAGCCACCATGTCCAGCCTAGATTTATTAATTTTTAAAGAAGTGATAATGTGGGCTGAGTGTGGTGGCTCACACCTGTCATCCTAACACTGGAAGGCCGAGGTGGGAGGCTCACTTGAGCCCAGGAGTTGGAGACCACCATGGGCAACATAAGGAGACCTCACCTCTACAAAAAATTTTAAAAATCAGCTACGCATGGTGGTACACACCTGTAGTCCCAGCTACTGTGGAGGCTGAGGTGGGAGGATTGCTTGAGCTCAGGAGGTCAGCTCGAGTGAGCTGTGATTGTCCCACTGCGCTCCAGCCTGGGTGACAGAGTAAGACCCTGACAAGAAAGAGAGAGAGGGAGAGAGAGGGAGGGAGGGAGGGAGGGAGGAAGGAAGGCAGGAAGGAAGGAAGGAAGGAGAAAGGAAAGGAAAGGGAAAAAAAGAAATAATGATAATCATGTGTTATTCTTAGGAGCTGTAAACTGAAGTATTTAGGTGGAGGGATGTTAATGTCTGCAACTTATCTTCAAATTGTTCTGCAAACGATTATACGTGTATATATGCATGTGTATAGAGAAACAGATCACATAAATGTGTCAAAATAGTAGTAACTGGTGGAGCTAAGTACAAAGTTTACTATGGGCCAGGTGCGGCGGCTCATGCCTGTAATCGTAGGACTCTGAGAGGCCAAGGTGGGCAGATCACCTAAGGTCAGGAGTTTGAGACCAGACTGGCCTACATGGTGAAACCCCATCTTTACTAAAAATTAAAAAATTAGCCCGGCGTGGTGGCACACGCTTGTAGTTCCACCTATCTGGGAGGCCAAGGCAGGAGAATCACTTCAACCCAAGAGGCGGAGGTTGCAGTGAGCCGAGATGGTGCCATTGCACTCCAGCCTGGGTGACACAGTGAGACCCTGTCTCAAAAAAGAAAAAAATTCAATATACCACTCTTTTACCTTTTCTGTATATATGAAAACTTTCCAAATAAAAAGTTTGGGAAAAGTTATTTGGGGAATTAACATATGAACACCTGTACTCATAAGCAGATGAAATCCCTCTTGGAGTCCCATCCGAGATTTTTTTTTTTGGAAACAAAGTGTCATCTGTGGCCCAGGCTGGAGTGCAGTGGGATGATCTCAGCTCACTGCAACCTCTGTCTCCTGGGTTCAAGTGATTATCCTGCCTCAACCTCCCAAGTAACTGGGATTACAGGCGTGTACCACCACACCTGGCTAATTTTTTTGTATTTTTAGTAGAGTATTTTAGTAGAAATTTAGTTTCACCATGTTGGCCAGGTGGGTCTTGAATTTCTGACCTCAAGTGATCCACCTGCCTCGGCCTCCCAAAGTGCTGGGAGTATAGGCATGAGCCACTGCACATTCCCCATCTGAGATTATTAAAACTCATGTAATCATGTATATCTGCACCAAGGCAAGACTGAAGTGAGGCCAGTGAGAAACGTAGCCCTGGCCCTGATACGCACCATAGATTAGAACAAGTTGGTAAGTAGAATGGGGTCCATACCAATGAAGAGGAGTGGTCACCCCTGGTTTGGGTCGACCAGTGAACTGTTATTGGCCTGAAGTTAATGAGACTCTGCAGCAGTTGTCAGCCTTAACTGCACAATGAAATCATCTGAAGGAGCTTTAAAAAATATTCTTTCCTGGGCCCCACCTCTAGAGATTCTGATTTGTTTCAGGTGTTGTCAGGGTATGCCCTATATTGGAGTGTTTTAACTCATCCCAGGTGATTCTAATTACTGTGCAGCCAAAGTTGAGAACCATTGCTCTTCATACTGCCTTATACAACCTGGACAACTATAAAGGGATTGGTAAAGTTCTCAGGGAGAACAGGTATGTGGTTTTACCAGAGTTGGAAGAGACTTTTTTTATTATCACTTGAGACTCAGAGAGATTCTAGCAATAGGAGAAGCCAGAAAGTTCTTTTATTTTTTTAATTTTAAAATTTAAAAATAGGGACAGAGTCTCACTATGTTGCCCAGGCTGGTCTTGAATTCCTGGGCTCAAGCAATCCTCCTGCCTCAGCCTCCCAAAGTGCTAGGATTACAGGTGTGAGCCACCATGCCTGGCCTAGAAAGTTCTCATACCATGGAGACTAGGCCTTTTTTCTCAAGGGCAAGGGACAATATGTTTAAAATACTTGGGCATAGGAGCAATCCAACAGCCCCCCAAACCTGGAGCTCTCAAAGGGATGGGATGAATTACCGCTGTCGGTTCTAAGTATTAAAGACAGCTGCTCAGGCTTTTGAAGAAATGGCAAGGAACAGAAAACTGAAAATATCCTCAAGGAGTCAGATTCTAACCCAAAAGAAAAGCTTCTGGACATTGATTGAAATATACATGACACTGCAGGAGGGGAAGGTATCATAAGGGGAAAAATTCAGTGGTTTGTGAAAGGTCTGGATGGGGACAGTGGTTATCCCATTAGGGGGCAAAGCCAGGTTCTTATAGGTACACATGGTCTCTCTTGAATAGAGGTCACTTCCAGATCTGTCACCACAGAAGAGGTGTCCCAAAGGAAAAATAAACAAAGTGAGAGAGAATTGGGTAGGCAGTACTCATTCTATCTTGCCTGGGACTTCCAAGTTGGTTTTATTTATTTATTTATTTATTTATTTATTTATTTATTGAGACAGGGTCTCCCTGTGTCACCTAGGCTGGAGTGCAGTGGGGAGACCTTGGCTCACTGCAACCTTTGCCTCCCAGGTTCAAGCGATTCTCATGCCTCAGCCTCCGAGTAGCTGGGACTACAGGCATGTGCCACCATGACTGGCTAACTTTTTTTTTTAGTAGAGACAGTGATATGGTTTGGCTGTGTCCCCACCCAGATCTCATCTTGAATTCCCACATGTTGTGGGAGGGACCTTGTGGGACATAATTGAATCATGGAGGCAGGTCTTTCCTGTGTTGTTCTCGTGATAGTGAGTCAGTCTCATGAGAGCTGATGGTTTTAAAAAGGGGAGTTTCCCTGCACTTGCTCTCTCTTGTCTGTTGCCATGTGAGATATACCTTTCCACCATGATTGTGAGGCTTCCCCAGCCATGTGGAACTGTAAGTCCATTAAAACTCTTTCTTCTGTAAATTGCCCAGTCTCAGGTATGTCTTTATCAGCAGTGTGAAAACAGACTAATACAGATTAGGGTTTCACAATGTTGGCCAGGCTGGTCTTGAACCCCTGACCTCAAGTTCTCCACCCGCCTCAGCCTCCCAAAGTGCTGGGATTATAGGCTATGAGCCGCTGCACCCGATGAGACTTCCAAGTTTTTATACTGGAAGTCCTGTATCCCAAGAAACCCTTTGGTCCCAAGAAAGAAACCCTATGTCCCAAGAAAGTTCCAGACAACCCACAATAGCTGATCAAGCTACTACACAGGGAAGGGGGTCATCTATCTCAGAACTGGACTTGGAGAAGAATGAACGTCGACATGTATCCTCCTTTAGAGGATGAGTCCTGTATTAGGCTGAGAAGCAGAACCAAAACTGAGACTCTCATGCAAGTGGTTTATTGATGGAGTGCTCTTAGGAGAAGGGGAGTGAGGGAAGCAGCGTAGAACAGGAAAAAAAAAAAAAATTAAGTAAGAATGTGCTCTCAGAAGAAGACTGACTTCAGCCTGATTCCATGAGGAGCTCTGGGGAAGGAAGTTCCTCGATGTAAGAGGTCAGTCTTTTGTACCTCCATACAAGAGGTAGCAATTCTTTTCTAGAGATGGTCTCAAAATTAGAATACATCAAAATCACTTGGAGGGTTTGGTAAATCAGAATGCTGTGCCAACCCCTGGAAATTCTGATTCGGTAAGTCTGGGGTGGGGTCTGAGAATTTGTATTTCCAGCAAGTTCACAGGTAATGCTGATGATGCACTTTGAAAACCTCCACTCTAGAGAAGAGGACAGCTCTGAGGTTTTAGCACCCACAGCATCTCATAAAGGGGATCAGGAAAGCACCTGCTACATGAGGGCACATGCCAGAGACAGATGGATTGGACCACAAGCTGGGGCTAGGTAGACTACATCTTTAGGTCAGAACATCTAGATTCAGAGTATCTTGTATGTTCCTGTTGTCATTCCACATCTCTTGCCAATGCATTGTTGAAACATTCTTAAAGATACATGAGGCTTTGAAGAGGAAGCAGCTGCAAGTTGCTAGGCAAACATAGTGGTGTCAGTTGCAATAGAGTGGAAAGTCCTTAAATGGGAGATCAATATTTAGGGGCAAGGCTCTAGACCAACCCTGGAAATTGCCTGATGCTTGTGAAATTAAAGGAAAATGGCATTGATGGCAACTTTTAATTTCATAAGCCATGCCAGAACTCGTAACAGTCTCTGCTCCTGAGGATCACCACCAGGTGAAGGTGAATGAATAAATGTTAAAATGGAATTCGTTTCTTTTGGTGGGGTACGTCAGGTAGAACTTGGAGAATACCTTGTACCCCTGGGCCTTAATGTCCATCTCCAGGCAGTGCATGAGGTCACTGTTGTCTAGGACTGCCTTCCAGGGCCCAAACTTGACAACGGACTTGAACATCTTCTTATCCTGCAGAAAACACAGGACCTCTGAATAATATGCATCCTGCTCCTCCGTTTCCACCAGGCACACAAGCACGCTGGACTTCCGCGCTGTTATGGCCTCTGCACGCGCCAGGCGCACCATGAGCTCCAGGTTCTCGCCATAGCCCGGCACTTGCAGGAGAAACTGCTTCCGAGACACCTGCTCACCAAAGATCTGCGGCATGTCCTCCAGCAGCTTGACTAAAGGCTTGATTTCATAGAACTGAGCCTCACGGTACACTTCAGGGATGTGCTGTGTGGGCACTTGCCCAGTGCGCAGGTAGTCCAGGATGGGTCTAAAATAGGTGCTGGGGCGGTCGATGAAGAAGCGGCCCTCTGCATCCATGGAGGCCTTGGCTGAGCTAGAGAACATCTCTGCCAACTTTGAGCCCGGAAATTTCCTCAGGGTACCCAGGGTGGTTGTGTGGAACTCACCCCCCACGTTCAGCTCCACAACGGTGGACATCTGGGGGCACAAGAGGCAGAGTAAACCAACACGCCGTCTCCCCTGAGCTCATGACTTATTTTTATCCAAAGAATAACTGGATAAAAAACTTAGGGGAGCCATAATGTTTGGCTTCGGCTAGTGAAAGGCCCATCTTACTAAAGAGGGTTGTATTGATGCTGTGTTGCTCCAGGGGGTGGCTTTTTTTTTTTAGACAGAGTCTCGCTCTGTCGCCCAGGCTGGAGTGCAGTGGCACAATCTCGGCTCACTGCAACTTCCACTTCGATTAAAGCAACTCTTCTGCCTCAGCCTCCCTAGTAGCTGGGACTACAGGCGCCCGCCATCATGCCCGACTAATTTTTGTATTTTTAGTAAAGACAAGATTTTGCCATGTTTGCTAGGCCGTTCTCAAACTCCTGACCTCACACGATCCGCCTGCCTGAGCCTCCCACAGTGCCCGGCCGAGGGTGGGCATTTTAAGGAGGAAGAAAGGTTTCTGTTTGAAAAAAGAATACCCATTCAAGCATCTTAATTTTAGGTCATAGAATGTTATGGGAGGAGGCCAGGCATGGTGGCACACGCCTGTAATCCCAGCACTTTGGGAGGCTGAGGCAGGCAGATCACCTGACGTCAGGAGTTTGAGACAAGCCTGGCCAACTTGGTGAAACCCCGTCTCTACTAAAAATACAAAAATTAGCCAGGTGTGGTGGCACGTGCCTGTAATCCCAGCTGCTCAGGAGGCTGAGGCACGAGAATCACCTGAACCTCGGAGGCGGAGGCTGCAGTGAGCCAAGATCACCCCACTGCCCTCCAGCCTGGGTGACAGAGTAAGACTCTGTCAATACATATTGTAATATTGTAAGACTCTGTCTTACAAAAGCAGAAGAATGTAATGGGAAGAGGCTGCCATGGAAAGAGTTGGAGACCAGCCTGGGCAACATAGCGAGACCCCATCTCTATGTTTTTTAATAGGTTTAAGGGAAAAAAATTTTTTTTAAAGTAAAGGCCAGGCATGGTGCCTCACGCCTATAATCCTAGTACTTTGGGAGACCAAGGTGAGTGGATCACTTGAGACCAGGAGTTCAAAACCAGCCTGGCCAACATGGTGAAACCCCATCTCTACTAAAAATACAGTAATTAGCTGGGCATGGTAGCACACGCCTATAGTCCCAGCTGCTCAGGAGGCTGAGGCAGGAGAATCACTTGAACCCAGGAGGCAGAGGTTACAATGAGCCAAGATCGTGCCACTGCACTCCAGCCTGGGCAATAGAATGAGAGTCCAACTCCAAAAAAAAAAAGGAAGTAAAATGGGGACATGGAGTTGTTACGAAGTCAAGAGTTCCCAACCTGGGATGCTCAGCTCTGATCTAAGATATAATAAAAGCCAGGGGTAAAGGAGGAGGGACACTTCCAACATTTCAGAAAGACGAAAGAAACTATACATGTGTTCATTTGGGAAGCATTTCTTGGGTATTTACTATGTATCCACATCCTGTGCGGGGAGTTGGGGACAAAAATTCTTATTTCATGTAGATCAGAAGTTCTGGTTAACGGTTGGCATGACCTTGATTGATTTAAAAATGGAATTTTTTCTTTCTTTCTTTCGTTTTGTTTTTTTTTTTTTTTTTTGAGACGGAGTCTGGCTCTGTCGCCCAGGCTGGAGTGCAGTGGCTGGATCTCAGCTCACTGCAAGCTCCGCCTCCCAGGTTCACGCCATTCTCCTGCCTCAGCCTCCCGAGTAGCTGGGACTACAGGCGCCCGCCACCTCGCTCGGCTAATTTTTTTTGTATTTTAGTAGAGACGGGGTTTCACCGGGTTAGCCAGGATGGTCTCGATCTCGTGACCTCGTGATCCGCCCGTCTCGGCCTCCCAAAGTGCTGGGATTACAGGCTTGAGCCACCGCGCCCGGCCTCTTTCTTTCTTTCTTTCTTTTTTTTTTTTTTTTTTTTGAAACAGAGTCTCACTCTGTCGCCCAGCTTAGAGTACGGTGATGTGATCTTGGCTCACTACAACCTCAGCCTCCCAGGCTCAAGCAATTCTCGTGCCTCAGCCTGGGAGCTAGGACGGCCACCCTGTAGCTGGGATTACAGATATACAATGCACGACCAAGCCAGGCTAATTTTTGTATTTTTAGTAGAGACTGGGTTTCACCATGTAGGCCAGGCTGGTCTCAAACTCCTGACCCCAATGTGCCCACCTCGGCCTCCCAAAGTGTTGGGATTACAGGCGTTAGCCATAGAGCTTGGCCAGAAAATTGAATTTTTTTTAACAGATGGGATCTTGCTCTGTTGTTGCCGAGGCTGGGGGTGCAGTGGCATGATCATAACTTACTGCAGCCTTGAACTTGGGCTCAGGTCATCCTCCTGCCTCAGCCTCCCAAGTAAATGGGACTACAGGACATTCAACACTGTATCTGGCTACTTAAAAAAATTTTTTTTAGAGATGGGTCTTACTGTGTTGCCCAGGCTGGTCTTGAACTCCTGGCTTCAAGGCTTCCTCCTGCCTGAGCCTCCCAAGCTTGTGGGATTACAGGTGCAAGCCACCGCGCCCAGCATAAATGGAATTTGTTTGATGAAGTTTTTCCAAATATGGTCCCATGGGACTCAAATAATAACAGGAATATTCTTGGTAATGAAAAGGCCAGTAACTCTACATATTGTGGGTGTAAAACTGCGTCATGAACTGTGAAGTGCAGTGCAAATGCAAGTTAAGTTTGGTTGTTCAACAGAACTTTTAGAGGCCACCTCTCCGTGCCAGACCCTGGGCTGAGCACTAAGACTGGTTATTAAGTGATGATGTCAGAATTTGAACTCAGGTCCGTTTTACTCCAAGCTTGAGCTCTTAGTGATTACATAAATGAATTACCTTCAGTCTTCCAATACCTTCACTCTTCATTCCCTTAGTGACTCATTCATTCAACAAAATGTATGCCTAGTGGGAAGGTTGGTGGGAAGAGGGATATGGAAACAGACAGTCTAGTAACTCTGTGTAGTGCTTTAAATGGATTATCTAATTCAGCCCTCACAACACTTCCATGAAGAACATATTAAATCTCCATTTTACAGAAGAAGAAACTAAGGCTTAAAGAGATGAAGAAAGTTGCCTGAGACTGGCTATTAAGTGATGATGTCAAAATTTGAATTCAGGTCCGTTTTACTTCACGCTGGAGCTCTTAGTCATTACATAAATTACCTTCAGTCTTCCAATACCTTCACTCTTCATTCCTTTAGTGACTCATTCATTCAACAAAATGTATGTTGGGCCTATTACATGCAAACCTTGTGCCAAACAGAACAGGACACAGTCCCTGCTTTCAAGGAACTCACAGGGGAGAGGGAAACAGATGGCTTAAGCACGTAGGTGCTGAGAGGGAAGACTCAAAGGTAGGAGGGGTCAGGTCTTTTTGTGGATGTGTATCGGAGGCTGTCAGAGAAGGTTTCCTAAGGGATATGACGGCTGCTGCTGCGGAGTAGATGCGTGGTGTTAGAGGGAAGGCTGGATTTCCAACCTGAAGATTTTACCACAAGAGTGGGGATGGGGCCAGGGCTCAGGAATGTCACTCAGTCTGATTTAGGTGTGTCCTCATTCTCAACTGGTCTGTGGGCTCTCCTTCTAAGATTAAAGTACTGGAGTTAAGAGAGCCAAAGGCAGGCCGGGCGCGGTGGCTCAAGCCTGTAATCCCAGCACTTTGGGAGGCCGAGACGGGCGGATCACGATGTCAGGAGATCGAGACCATCCTGGCTAACACGGTGAAACCCCGTCTCTACTAAAAAACACAAAAAAACTAGCCGGGTGAGGTGGCGGGCGCCTGTAGTCCCAGCTACTAGGGAAGCTGAGGCAGGAGAATGGCGTAAACTCGGGAGGCGGAGCTTGCAGTGAGCCGAGATCCGGCCACTGCACTCCAGCCTGAGCGACAAAGCGAGACTGTCTCAAAACAAAAAAAAAAAAAAAAAGAGAGAGAGACAAAGGCAACCGAACTGCTGGAGAAATCTGATTGCCATGACAACATCTCCTACCAGGGGACAGTTCTGCTTACTGGAAGGGAGAAGGCAGAGGAGAGGATGCATCTTGACAGCAGCCAAACAATAGAGCTGAGAAAAATAAGCCCAGAACCTCTGACTCTTTCTCCCAAAAACCTCAAGGCCCCTTGGCAGGACTGTTTGGTTAACCCTGAGGTCACCTCTGTAAAGCACCCAGTTAAATGCCAACTTGCAGACTTTACCCCTTGAATGGACCAATATGTTCTCATTACTCCTACACTGCTGAAAGCTCCCAGGCCCTCCTAATATCCCCATATTACAGGCAAGGAAAGTTCAGAGAGAAGTCACACAGCTAGGATGTGATGAAGTTGAAGCTGAGATGAAACCTATATCAGCATGACTCCAACACAATATGGGTGCCTCACTCCCATCCTTCCCAACATCCTGCCCCACTACTGCCAATACTTAGATATGTGCCCAGGGCCCTTTGCTTTCCTTCTCTGGGCCTAAGCTTAGTTATCTGTGAAACAGGAAGGCAAAATGGACCAAGAGAACTCTAAGCTCCCCCAGCTCTGAAAGTCTAACAGATCCAATCACATCCAATGTCCTTTCTGAAGCTAATTTCCAGATGCTTCAAAAAATAGGCTGGGTGCAGTGGCTCACGCCTATAATCCCAATACTTTGGGAGGCCCAGGTGGGAGGATCACTTGAGGCCAGGAGTTCAAGAGCAGCATGGCCAACATGGCAAAACCCCATCTCTACTAAAAATACAAAAAATTAGCTGGGCCCTGGTGGCGCACGCCTGTAATCCCAGCTACTTGGGAGGCTGAGGCAGGATAATTGCTTGAACCCGGAAGACAGAGGTTGCAGTGAGCCAAGACTGCGCCACTGCACTCCAGCCTGGGTGACAGAGGGAGACTCTGTCTCAAAGAAAAAAAGTTTCCTGTGCTGACATCTTCAGCTCCATTTCTTTATCAAACAAGACCTCAGCCCTGTTCCTAAGCTCCTTTTTGTTTTTTGTTTTTGTTTGTTTTTTGTTTTGAGACAAGGTCTCACTCTTGCCCAGGCTGGAGTGCAGTGGTACAATCTCGGCTCACTGCAACCTCCACCTCCGAGGCTGAAGCGATTCTCCTGTATCAGCCTCCAGAGTGGCTGGGACTACAAGCGTGTGCCACTATGTCCAGCTAATTTCTGTATTTTTTATAGAGACAGGGTTTCGCCATGTTGGCCAGGCTGGTCTCAAACTCCGGAGCTAGGTGATCCACCCGCTCTGCCTCCCAAAGTGCTGGGACTACAGGCATGAGCTACCACGCCTGGCTGAGAGTACCTTTTCTGAAGTACAAATCTGATCCTATCACTCCCTGCATTAAACCCTTGAGCAACTTTTCATTCCCTTCCAGATAAACTCCAGACTCCATAACAAGGTTTAGAGGCCCTTTGCAACTGGGCTGCTACTTCACCCCTCGCAATCAGCTACCAGAACCGACGGTTGCTCCCCACCCCTCCAATCCGGAGCAAGCCAGGCCCCCTCACCTCCAGAAGCTCACTCACTTGCCATCCACACTCCTTTCTCTGACCCTACTCATTCTTCAGATGAATTCCTCTGGGAGTCCTTCGGGGTGGGTTGTCTCATTGTGGTCCCAGAAAGTCCTACACTACTATACTTCCACTGGCCTGGCAGTTCTTCCCTTATAATTCCCTGTTTGTTCATTGCGAGGTTCCTGGCCAAGTGCTGTGTTTCACGCATGTAATCCCAGCACTTTGGGAGACTGAGGTAGGAGGATTGCCTGAGCCTAAGAGTTTGAGTCCAGTCTGGGGTTTCAACCAGGAGTTCAAGACCAGCCTGGGTCTCACCAACATGGCAAGACCCTGTCTCTATTTTAACAAAAACCAACCAACCAACAAACAAACAAGAAGGCTGTGAGGCTCCTAAGGGAGGGGAATATCCTCTGATTTACAGGAGCATCTAGTGTTCTGTTCAAGGCCAATCTTGCCCTACCTGGCATCATGCACAGTGCGTTACACTTCCCCAGTAATTCATTCAGGCATTTATTGAGCATCTAGGGTGATCCTGGCACTAGGCATGTGACTTTGTCAATAGCCAACAGCAATGACGTGACTGTGGCCCTATTAGAGAGAGCCACGCTGACCTGCTGCTGGATCTGCTTTCCCTTCCTCCAGGTCTTCAGGATGATTCTCAGTGCAGGAGAGAACCCGAGTGTTCTGCTTCTAGAGTGCAGCCAGCCTTTTCCCCATCCTCCTCCCCAACTCCCCTCACCCAAGCCCGGGGACCAGGCAGGCAAGCAGAGGGATTCGGGTCCCAGCCAGAGGGCAGGGGCAGGGGCAGGTTGGAGAGGGCTGCGGGTGAGGGAAAGATCCTCTGGCCAAGCTGGTTGGATGGGCTTCTCCCACGGGGAGCAGGGGAGAAGGAGGGGCAGAGGAGAAGCCCTGGACTAGGACAAGCCCGGGGGAAGAGAGAAGGGGGTGGAACTAAAGACCGAATGCAGAGGGAGGAAGCAAAAGGGCAAAAAGGAGAGGCTGGACAGAGCCAAACCAGAAAGGGACACCGAGGCGCGAAAGGAGAGCCATCCGAGCAGGAGGGATAGCAAAGACAGAAGAGAGCGACCAGCCCGAGGTGCAGGGAGACAGTGCGCCAGAAGTAGGGGGCTCGGCCGGCTGCGAGGCACTGGCGGGAGAAACTGGAAGGGAGGGCAGAGGCGCGGGGACTCAGCTAGCCTCGCACTTACCGTCAGCCGCCCGGGCCGGGGGGACTGGGGCAGAGGGGTCTGGCTCGTCATCCTGCCCGCTGGCCGCTCCACTGCGCAGCCCTGCCACATGCAGATCACTTGGGCCAGCGGAAGTGCCCCTGGCTGCCCGCCCCTAGGTGGGGACACCGAGGCTCAAGGCGGGACGGGGCTGGGCCAGGCGTGGCTTGCAGTGAGACCTGGCCAAGTGCAGAAGGAAATGAACAGTCTGTCTATTTAGGGCTTTTAAAAGTTGTTAGACCCTGAGGAGGGCTGACTTTGGAGACTGAGAAATGGAGCAGACCCTTTAAGTACTGACCTTTTGATATAGATTAATTTCCTTCCTTTTCTTTTTTTTTTTTTTCCAGAGACAGGGTCTCACTCTGTCGCCCAGGCTGAAGTGCAGTGGCAGATTAGGCTCACTGCAGCCTCAACCTCCCGGGCTCAAGTGATCCTCCTACCTCAGCCTCCCAAAGTGGTGGGATTACAGGCCTGAGCCACAGCACCTTGCCTCTTCCTATATTTTCTTTTGCGGCTTAGATCAGATGGCACCTGAGATGAAAGACCCCATGACTGAGATAAAAGACCGTTTGAATATTACATCTTAATGTGGAATGTTAAATGTACCTTTCTCAAACAGAAACACTGCCTAGAATCAATTAAATTGCTGTAACTATACACTTAACTAATATGGAAAATGTTAAAATTCTGTTAAGCTTCCCCAGACCTTGCTTCTTCTTCTTCTTGTTATTATTGCTTATTATTCCCCAGACCTTGCTTATATAAATGAATGACCCTCAAACCACTCTACTCAAGAGCACTGAACCCAGCTTATTGGAGCCTGTGTCCCCCGCTTGGCCATTCTCAAACTTTACGCTTAAATAAATTATTTAAACGTATTGCCTGAATCCCGTTATTAAAGTTGACACTAGTTAATGCCCCTCTCTGGGCCTCAGAGTTCCCAGGAGTGAAATGGGGGAGGCAGAGGGAGTTGACATTGACTCACATTGACAGCTAGAGACTTTCTATTCCCTACAGTCCTAGGGAGTGAAATATCGTCAACACCATTTTACAGATCAGAAAACCAGCACCCTAGGAGGTAGGGTGGTGTTAAAATGTAAAATCTGAGGATCAACAAAACTTTTTCAAGAGTGTACTTGGGGCCGGGCACGGTGGCTCAAGCCTGTAATCCCAGCACTTTGGGAGGCCGAGACGGGCGGATCACGAGTTCAGGAGATTGAGACCATCCTGGCTAACACGGTGAAACCCTGTCTCTACTAAAATACAAAAAAAAAAATTAGCCGGGCGAGGTGGCGGGCGCCTGTACTCCCAGCTACTCGGGAGGCTGAGGCAGGAGAATGGCGTGAACCCGGGAGGCTGGGCTTGCAGTGAGCTGAGATCTGGCCACTGCACTCCAGCCTGGGCAACAGAGCCAGACTCTGTCTCAAAAAAAAAAAAAAAAAAAAAGAGTGTACTTGGATAACAGGCAATTCTTGAATTGGGGAACACCAGATGGAAAAAGGTTGAATGTTCCCATGACAATGCATCAGAGGCAAATATTTATGGGGAGAATGTGGAAACAAGATATTTTACTGGGGACAGGCACGGTGGCTCACGCCTGTAATTCTAGCACTTTGGGAGGCCAAGGTGGACAGATCATTTGAGGTCAGAAGTTCGAGACCAGCCTGACCAAAATGGTGAAACCTCGTCTCTACTAAAAATACAAAAATTAGCTGGGTGTGGTGGTGCGTGCCTGTAATCCCAGATACTTGGGACTCTGAACCAGCAGAATTGCTGGAACATGGGAGGCAGAGCTTGCAGTGATCAAAGATTGCACCACTGAACTCCAGCCTGGGCAACAAAGTAAGATTCCCTCTCAGGGAAAAAAAAAATGTATATATATATATATATATATACACACACACACACACACACATATATATATATATATTTCATTGGTTACAGTTACGAAATCACCTTTTTTGGTTTCCTTTGTTGAAAAGTCCTTAGTTACTTAATTATATGTTAGTTGGTTGCTTGTGATTGGCTAATGTTAAGTTTTGTTTCTGTCTAACATTAGCATTTACCAGAAATGACTGTATTAGTCAGCGTTCTTTAGAGGGACAGAACTAATGGAATGGGGCTGGGCACGGTGGCCCACACCTGTAATCTCAGCACTTTGGGAGGCCAAGGCAGGTGGATCACCTGAGGTTAGGAGTTCAAGACTAGCCTGACCAACATGGTGAAACCCCATGTCTACAAAATACAAAAAATTAGCTGGGCGTGGTGGTGGGCACCTTTAATCCCAGCTACTTGGGAGGCTAAGGCAGAAGAATCACTTGAACCTAGGTGGTGGAGGTTGCAGTAAGCCCAGATCAAGCCATTGCACTCCAGCCTGGGCAACAAGAATGTAATCCCATCTCAAAAAAAACAAAAAAACAAAAAAACTAATGGTATATATATATACACATACACACACACATACATATATGTGTGTATACATATATTCCATTACTTTTTAAACTCTGCTTTATATATATACACATGTATGTGTATATACACACACACACACATATACATATATGTGTATATATATATAAAGGGGAGTTTATTAAGTATTAACTCACACGAACCCAAGGTCCCACAACAGGCCATTGGCAGGCTAAGAAGCAAGGAGAGCCAGTCCGAATTCCAAAAGTGAAGAACCTGGAGTCTGATGTTCGAGGGAAGGAAGCATCCGGCATGGGAGAAAGATGTAGGCTGGGAGGCTAGGCCAGTCTCTCTTTTCACATTTTTCTGCCTGTTTATATTCTAGCCACACTGGCAGCTGATTAGATTGTGCCCACCCAGATTAAGGGTGGGTCGGCCTTTCCCAGCCCTCTGATTCAACTGTTAATCTCCTTTGGGAACACCCTCACAGACACACCCAGGATCAATACTTTGTGTCCTTCAATCCAATCAAGTTGACACTCAGTATTAACCATCACAATGACCCAAGTTAAGTTTTGCTTATGTTTGCAAATCAAGCAAGTCTGAGTTCCTTTATGAGGCCTAACTAGCATTGTCTGGCCAGGGATTCTTCAGGCCTGATCTCCATTTTAATTTACTTTAACAGTGGCCAGTGTAGACTATTTAGCCAGCCCAAGGCAGCTGCTTGGAGTACAAAGCATGCCCAATGGTGAAAAGAGTTAGGTATCTGTTTTGTGGGGTTGTTTTCCTAGAGTTAAAATATAACTCTAAAGGAGAGGGAGCATAATTTCCCACTCCTTAAGTGTGAGTTATGCATTGTGACTTCTTCCAACGAGTACAATATGGGAAGGAGGAAAAAGAGAAGAAACTTTACATTGGGGAAACTGATCAATACTACTCTAGCCAGGTGACCAAAGTCAGTGCCAACAGTTATTGATCATGACGACAGTGCATGCTTGCTGTAAACCAAAAAGTATCTGAGACAAGTCTCAACCAATTTAGAAGTTTATTTTGCCAAGGTTAAGAACATGCCCACAATACAACCTCAGGATGTCCTCAGGTCATGTACCCAAGGTGGTCAGGCTACAACTTGGTTTTATGTATTCAAGCAGACATAAGACATTAGGGCCGTGCATGGTGGCTCACGCCTGTAATCTCACCACTTTGGGAGGCCAAGGCAGGTGGATCATTTGAAGTCAGGAATTTGAGACCAGCCTGGCCAACATGGTGAAACCCCATCTCTACTAAAAATGTAAAAATTAGCCAGGCATGGTGGTGTGTGCCTGTAACCCCAGCTACTGAGGAGGCTGAGGCAGGAAAATCACTTGAACCTGGGAGGCAGATGTTGCAGTGAGCTGAGATCGCACCATTGCACTCCAGCCTGGGAGACAGAGTAAGACTCCATCCCAAAATAAAAAAATAAAAAAGAAAGAAAAAAGAAAACACATCAATTGGCTAGGCATCAATGGCTCAGTCTGTAATCCCAAGGGAGAGGATCCGGGAGGCCAAGATGGGAGGATCACTTGACCCCAGGAGTTCAAGTCCAGCCTGGGCAACATGGTGACACCCTATGTCTACAAAAAGTACAAAACTTAGTCAGGCACGGTGGCATGTGCCTGTAGTCTCAGCTACTTGGGAGGCTGAGGTAAGAGGATCTCTTGAGCCTGGGAGGTATCTCTGTTGGACTAGAGATTATAAATAAATAAATAAGGCCAGGTGTAGTGGCTCACACCTGTAATCCCAGCACTTTGAGAGGCCAACGTGGGCAGATCATTTGAGGTCAGGAGTTCGGCACTAACCTGGCCAACATGGTCAAACCCCAACTGTACTAATAGGACAAAAAATTAGCTGGCGTGGTGGCATGTGCCTGTAGTCCCAGCTACTCAGGAGGCTGAGGCAGGAGAATTGCTTGAACCTGGGAGGTGGAGGTTGCAGTGAGCCGAGATTATACCACTGCACTCTAGCCTGGGCAACAGAGCGAGATTCTGTCTCAAAAAAAAAAAAGATAATTAATTAACATGTAATAAAAATGAAGATACCAATTAATACATGTATGATGTGCATTGGTTAGGTCCGAAAAGACTGGACAGCTGGAAGGGGATGTGGGGCTTCCAGGTCATAAGAAGATTCAATGATTTTCTGATTGGTGGGCAGGTGTGGAAACTCATGCATATAATCACAGCACTTTGGGAAGCTAAGGTAGACATATAGCTTGAGCCCAGGAGTTGGGGACCAACCTGGGCAGCATAGCAAGACCTGGTATCTTTTTGGATTTTTTTTGAGGCGGAATCTGACTCCGTCACCAGGCTGAAGTACTGTGGTGCAATCTTGGCTCACTGCAATCTCCGCCTCCCAGGTTCAAGCAATTCTCCTGCCTCAGCCTTCCGAGTAGCTGGGATTACAGGCATGTACCACCACAACCAGCTCATGTTTGTATTTTTAGTAGAAATGGGGTTTCACCATATTGACCAGGATGGTCTCGATCTCCTGACCTCATGATCTGCCTGCCTTGGCCTCCCAAGGTGCTAGGATTACAGGCGTGAGCCACCATGCCCAGCCAGACCCCGTCTCTATTTTTAAAAGATGAAAATTAAAAAGCAAGGATTTTCTGCTTGTCAGTGGGTTATTATCTAAAGACCTGAGATCAATAGAAAGGGATGCCTGGGTTACTATAAAGGGTGGTGTAGACCAAGGTTTTATCATACAGATGAAGCCTCCACGTAGCAGGCTTCAGAGAGAATAGATTGCAAATATTTCTTATCAGACTTAAAGGCTGACAGACTTTGTGCATGACTGACAGACTGACAGACTTAAGGTCTCTGTTTTGATGGTAATACTGGTCAGCTGTGCCGAATTCCAAAAGGGGGAAGGGCATAATGAGG